AGTGTGATTTTAAGATTATAAGTAAGGGAAATCAGGAATCAAATTATAATAATCATCAAAACTATAATTCACAAAATATGAAACTTACTCCAAACACATTAAGCATTTGTTTGGATTCTTAACTATGCAATTGTGGCTTGGTTCTCAACTATTGAAATTTTGGGTTGCATTGATGCAATGAACGTTATTGCAGCTTCTATGTGACTTGCCAAATGTTCGGTAGCATTTTCGGGGAAGTAAAACAAAGTCTACATTAAAACAGAAAGGAAATACCATTTTTCTTCGAATACGTGACAATCAATTGTATTGGCTGCGGTTTTTATCTTTCACGACGATTTTTCTACCTTTCGTGACGAATTAAATAAAACCCCATTCAGGTAAATTGCCTTTTGCGACGGGAAAAACCGCCGCTAACCGTTGTTAAAAAAATAAAAGTCAGCGAATTAAAAAACCGCCGCTAAAAGTCGATAGACTGTTCAAGTCTTCCGCCCTCCCCATAATGTGAACTTTACACGAAGGACCGAAAAAAAACATACTCCCTTTTCTCTTTATACGCATATGTATTAAATTTCCTTTGTTTTAAAAACATACATACACACACATTACATGAAAACATCATTAAAATTTTGTCCAAATTATTTAATTGGATACATAAACATTCCCCAATCTGTTTAGCAGACAAGATCGGATGGGAAAGAAATTTAGTGCGAGTTTCTCATGTAGCTCCTTTGTAAAGGTAAAATCCTTTTTATCTACTGACATGCTCAATCCTTCTTGGAAATTCGCAGTGCTGCCATTAATGTAAGAGCTAAAACTGGATTTGCTACCTCTGAACATCCCATGTGCATCCCAACACCCTTGTACTAAATTTAACAAAAACATTAGAAGGAAACTGATAAACCCTTTTGCTATAACATCTAACTTCCATAATCCATCCAATGAACCGTATAAAATTTTAGACGTAAATGTTAGGCCCTACAAAAAAACTACTAAATGTTAGGCCATTTTGCTATCACGTCTAACCTCCATAATTCATCAATGAATCAAGGCAAGTATATATCACCCTACAAAAAATACTGAATTCAATTATACATGACTTTAAAGACATACCACCACTAGACAATCCTCCTTCTATGAGTCCCTCAAACATACCACCATTATGGAAATTTGGATTGCTTGTATTTTTGCTTCCCATACTCTATTCAATCTTTCAAGCCTTCAGATAGAACATAACCTGCATTGTGCAGATGAAATCATAATTTGAAACAAAACTAATATACTAGAAATAAGAACCAGATTAAGGAGAGATAAACAGGGTAATGACAACTAAATCTTTTAGAGGCAAAAAGCTTAACTGCCTATGTTTTCGGGACAAAATCTAGCAATAAGCAAGTGTGGGGGACTGCATGTTACGAAGTAGCAATACTATTAGAATAAACTTTGGCTATTAGGAGTTGCAGTCGTATTTTCCCAGTGTTACCAAGCAATTCTAGGAAAGGCCAAAAGAAAAAGGGTGATACATACAAACTATCACTATTCAACATACCATTAGACCACGAAATGACACATCTCTTGCGAGTGTGGACCAGCATCTATCAAATGAAAGAAAAATTAAATCCGCAATTTTTGGCAAGCAAAGACCTCCAGTATTTTACAGTGAACTAATGGCCTCATGGTGAACTTGATTGCATGTAGCACAACCTCACACTAATATATTCTTTTACTTCAATTTTTCTTATAACACTCACAGATTTTATTAATGAAATGTAGTTACAAGGAGGATGAATGAGATGTCCATCTAAAATCCTGTTAACATTCTCAATCCCAAACAAAAAAAAATCAGCCAAAACCAAACTAACTATTTGGATGACAAACAAGGATTGAGTTAAGAGGCCAACAGTCTTCTAGACTCTTAATTCCCTGATCCCCATCATAATGAAAAAAAGAGAGAAGAGGGAATGAGGAGGAGGGACCATACGTTTGGATACCAATACTCAAAAATTTACTTCCTTACATATAATTTACATCAAGTTAAATTCCATACATATGATTGCATACCAAAAAATTGAGCTTTACCCATTACCCGTGAATGCTACATCAATAACATCTGTACTCTATGATCATACCTGAATTGCACAAAGATAAGCTTGGCTCTGAATACATGTCTTTACAGGACCCCAAATACCCTAGAAATAGCTCCCAACAGAAACTTATCTTTACAGAGACAACTGGACGCATTATTCCTTCTCCAAATGCCCCAGAATTAGCTCCACACAGAAACTCCCTCCAAACTACATTGACAGATTAATGAATTAACTCCCCACAGAAACTCCCTCCAAATTACATTGTAGAAATAGTTCACAATCTATGCAAAACATTATAAACGCATTATATTATATACATGCACTAAATACCAGAAACCTTGATTTCTGTTCTTTTTCTATTGAAAAATAAAATAAAAACAACAATTGTGTTTTCAATTGCTACAAATTCCAAACATATACAGTTTAACCTATCGTGAATAGTCAATGGTTGCACTTGGCGAGAAGATTATAGTTTCAGTCTTTCATTGTTACTTCTTGATGTTGTCGCTATTTCTATGCCATAAGGTCCCTCTAATCCAAATAACATAAGTGGGAAAATAGCGAATTGGAAGCTTACCAAAGAAGTGCTTTGAGTCGTTTCGCCTAAAGCATGTCTTTTGCTCGAGCTCGAGGTCTGTATCGCCATTGAAATAGCTCCCTCTCTCACTGGTTAGGGTTTGTGGATTTGTTGTTTTAAGTTAGAAGGGGGTGAATTTGGGGGCTTGACACGATTTTATTATAAACGGTCTCCCATTTTGCAAGTTGTTTGTTTTTCTTCAGTTTAATTGGCTTTTCTCGGACAAGAAAAATGGTTTTTTTTACCTTTTTTTTTTTTTTTGAGGTCAAACGTTTGACATTAATTTGCTAGTTTCAATTTCTTTTTCTGGATAAAAATATTGGATTATGCGAAATTAGCTCATCGGTGAAGTTTATAAGATGTAAATGTCCATTCTCAATTCCAAATTTCTTTAGAAGTAGTTACTCTGAATCCTTCCTTAAAATTTTAACTGAAATTGAAAGAAGCAGTTTACAACACTGAACATTACTCGAAAAAAGTTCAATCATTCTCAACCGGAGTTCAAGCAAGCATTATTCAAAGGGTAGTTTCCATATTTTATGTTGTAAATTTATAGAGTAATTAACAGATCTTATAGGACAATCTTGGTATTATAATGTACATCATGTGTGTCTTCAATGGTAATGAGAAGAAAAACGCAAAATTCCTCATATATAAGAGATGTTAACTGTTTTAAACCTAGTTTGATTTGCTACCTATTAAAAACAAAATTAATTTTAAAACTAAAGTAAGCCAAACTATTGTTCGGATACAAAATTGGGTTGAGAGTCAAAATTCATGTACCAAAAATGAAAAAAGAAAACACCCTACCACCATTATTTTTTAGCAGCACCACTTTCTAAGAGTATGGAACCCATGACTATGTTATTTATGACAAACAAGTAAGGTATTTGATACATACGCATACGCATATGTTCGGATACCCTTTATCTTTCAATGAGAGTATGGAACTGCAATAGCTTTGAGGGGATATTTTCGATGGATGGTTAAGCCGGACGATTCAGTCCTGTCCAAATCCTCCCTACTTGCTCTACAATGTCCAATCAAACTTGTGCACAACATTTGCCAAGGCAATCTCATTAACAGCTATGCCAAACTGAATTCCTGGGCAGATCCTCCTGCCAGCTCCAAATGGAATGAACTGGAAGTCATTACCCCTGTAATCTATGCCACTATTGAAGAACCTTTCTAGCTCGAAATCCTCCGGCCTATCGTATGACTTGGGGTCCCTTCCAATTGCCATGCATTGATGGTCACAGGCATGTTGGCTTTAATGTCGTAACCATTTATTGTCACATCTTGGCCATCCTTCCTTGGCATTAGCAATGGAGCTGCAGGATGTAAGCGAAGAGTCTCCTTGATCACCGCCTTCAAGTAGTGCATGCCAACCATAAACATGTCCTACAAAAGTGATCATTATAGTCAAAATTAACTTTCTAACCGGTTAGTGCTCTCAAGCGCTGTGTATATATAATGTTAAGTCACAAACATAGAGACTTAACAATCCTTTATAGTAACTCTATAAATAGGGAAGTTACCAGCCGAGTTTTCTTGTTGGATCCCAAGCAAAACATCCACAAAATCCTTTTGTTCATCATCATCTCCGGCACTCTTTGAACCACCATCTATATGCTCTTGAACCACTTTGTCTATAAAGTCGTCAAGCTGCATGGACACCTTGTCTGATTGAGCATTTAAACCATTGACATGGTTCAACCAAGTTTTGTAGGATGGAGAGCCGCGCATGCGTGTGTTGGTGACTTTTCCGAAGCATGCTTCTTAAAAGGGTTAATTTCAGTTTAGTACCATGTGGTTTCACTGATAAGGCATGTTTGCCCATGTCCTCTCAATTTTAACAATAAAGTACCCAAATATTGATAATTTGTTACAATGTGGCTCCGCCATTAGCTTGACTATTAAAAATTCTATTAAGTGATGAGTTATCAATTTCGGGCCCTACAAAATTGACAACTCATCACTTGATAGAATTTTTAACAGTCAAGCTAATGGCGGAGCCACGAAACCATCTTTTGCCATTGGAAGCAACTTTAGCAGGACCCCAAACATCAGAGTGAACCAAATCAAAAGGGAATTCCGTTTTATTATCACTTAAGGGAAAAACAGTTCGATGGCTTTTGGCCAATACACATGTTTCACACTGAAACTGAGAATGATCTAGGCCACGAAACAAAGACGGAACCAAACGTTGAAGATAGCCAAAGGATGGATGTCCTAGACGACGATGCCAAAGCCAAATCTGATGTTGGTTGCGAGCTTGTGAGCTGGAACCTTGAGTATGAGCTGCCCTTGGTGGTGAAGAGACCATCAAGGAATACAACCCCCCCTCTTCGTTTACCATGCCCAATCGTCGCGTGAGTCGTGAGGTCCTGAAAAAGACAATGGGAAGGATAGAATGTGGCATAACAGTTATGTGAGTCAAGTAATTTTCCAACAGACAGCAAATTGCAATTGATGGAGGGAACAAGTAGTGTATGAGATAAAGATAAGGAAGGGGAAAGTGATATAGTTCCTTCACCAGCAACATTAGAGGGGACTCCATTGGCACTAGTGATGTAAGGATGACGAGACTTAGAAGATATTGTGGAAAACATAGTAGAGTCAAAAGTCATATGATCAGTGGCACCTGTGTCAATTATCCATGTAGTGGGTTGTGTACCTGATTCGGAGTCGGAGAGTAGGGTGGAAGATGGAGAGGCATCGGTAGTTATAACACATGCTGCCTTGGGTGTTTTGTTGCGGGATTTGAAAGCATCCCACCACTCAGGATAACCATGAAGCTTGAAGCACTTCTCAACAAGATGATCACCACCACAATGAGTGCACTTCTCAGTTCCCTTTGCATTGTCAGTTTTGGGACCCCGGGGGGGAAGTCCGGAGGACGTACGGTGTGGTGGCCGATATGGCTTGACCGCCATTGCACTCCCACCGCCAAGCATGGAAGATTGGCGATTATCTTCTTCTACCACTAGTGCATAAGCTTCAATGACTGCTGGAAGCGGATTCATGGCAAGAATCTGACTACGAACGGAATCAAAGTTGGGATCGAGTCCTCCCAAAAAATCGTACACACGTTCCACCTCAAGTGCTTGTTGGTGAAGAGCCACATCATCGGGATTGGTATGTTTGCAGGGACGGAGGCTGTCAATTTCCTGCCATATTATGTGTAATTTTTCGTAGAATACATTCACAGGTTCACCACTTTGAGAGGTGGTGACTGACTGACGACGGAGTTGGTACAACTTGGAGCTATTATGTGTGACAGTATATGTCTTCCGAGCTGCGTCCCACACCGCATAAGCTGTTGAGCAGTGATCAAATAAGGCACGTACATTTTTGGTCATGGAGTTGAGGAGCCATGACTGCACCAAACAATTGTCTTCATCCCAAGCTTCATAGCTAGGATCATCAATGGCAGGGGCAATCTTTTTACCATTAATGAAACCAGTCATACGACGAGCAGTGATGGCCAAGCGAACACTACGAGACCATGCAGGATAGTTGGACCCATCCAACTTATCAGGAGTAATTGGAGAGTAGTCATGAGAGGACCGGGGTGGTGGTGGTGTTGTGGAGTCGATCTTGGTGGAGTCGATTTTAGAGGAGTCG